GGGGGAGGGGTGGTTTGGGGGTAGAGATAAAAATATATTTGAAATTTAAAAACAAGAAAAATTTTAATTTTAAATTTTTTTATGAATGGGGAGGGTCGAGTCATGTACGGGGTATGGGTAGGGTAAGATATATATTTCTTTTTAAAAAAGAATTGTTTTTGAAAATTATTTCAAATTTTAATAAAAATCATTTTTATGCCACCCCCATCCCTACCTCAACCCCCCACCCAGGCCATCTTCGTCAATTATTTTTTTTTAAATTTTTTTTGGAAAATATTTCAAATTTAATTTAATTTTATTTTTACGCCACCCCCAGGCCATTTCCGTAAAAAAAAATTCACAAAAAAATTGTTTTTGATAAATAATTCAATTTTTTTACAAAATTAAATTATTTTTACGCCACCCCCTACCTCCCTCCCACAGGCTATTCCGGTTGGAAAAAAAATTCAAATTTTTTTGAGAGATACTACAAATTTATTTATTTTTTCATTTTCTACGCCAACCCCTGCTACCCCCTAGCCCCCCCCCCCCCTAAAAAATTAATTTGAAAAACATTGTTTTTAAAAAAGAATCATTTTTAATGCAACCCCATTTTTTTTTCCTGGGTCAGGTTCTGGGCCGGATTTTGGAACGGCCATCGGGGTCTTTCCTAGTTTGGTTGTCGCGTTGGGTCCTAGATCAATTATCGAGGTTGATTTTCGGATCATAAATTATTTTCCTAAAGAGTTGAGTATATTTTAGTCTCAAGCCAAAAATAAAAGATATTTTTCATTTACCAACCAAACATTAAAAAATAAGTTAGAAATCCACTTATTTCCAAGAAACCATTTTCCTTCGTACCAAACACACCCTTAAAGGAAAATGGTAAAGGCGTAAATAAAAAGGATGTAAAAATACTTTTAAATATTATATATTTTGTAAATAATTTGAAGGATATTTCACTCATTTATATATTTTCATTTCAATGTACAATTTTGTCTTACAACTTTAACATGGCTCAAGACCCATATGCAATGTATATTTATTCCTATCGTATGATGGCGTTACCTTTGCATATCAACAAAAAAATATAGTTAGAGGGGGGTAAACATTAATAAAATAACCGTACAAATATACATAAAAACAGGGTGAAATAGTAAGACAAACATTATTCAAAAAGTGCTTAACATATTATTTTATTTGAATTCTCAAGTTAAAACTATCTTTAAATGCATAATACTTCTTCAGGATGGGAAGGGTAATACAGAAAAAAAAAATCAAAATATTTTGAACATCTCTTATCCTCACACTCAAAACTAAATAATTCAACAAAAAAAAAGGGGAAAAGGCATAAATTCCCGCTCAAACTTGTAGCAAAAAGTCAGTTACACGCTTCAACTATTATGACGACTTATTACATACATTTACTATTAAAAAGTAAATTTATTTACTACCTGCGATGTATAGTACCACTCTCACAATGTAAAGTATATCACATTTGCGCCACATTAATATCATCTCATTGCCACATCAGATGCCATGTCAGATTTCAAATAAAATTCTCCTTGTCATTCAATTGCTTCTTCTTCCATGAACACCACCATAGAACCACTAACATTGCCATCATATTTGTACCAAAACTCTATATTTCACCATAAAAATCTTCTATTTTTTTTAGTGTAACAAGACAATATGAAATAACTGAGCAAAATTTCCTTGAAATAAATCGTTATGTGTTCACCATCATAACACACAAAAATAACTTCCCAACAAATCTAAAACAAAGAAAAAATGGAAAAGAAAATAAAAACAAAACAAACAGAGTTTCTCTTCAAGAACACAAAGGTAAAATTACAACTTTCAAAATTATCATTACTTAAAAAATTCTTAAGTTGCAACCTTCTTTTTAAGCTTTGCAAGCTCCTGTCACACCACACCAACCACAAATTTCACCATCTATAATAAACCCACCATCAAAATAACACTATCACCTCCGTTCCCACATAATTATAAAGATCCACCACAAAATTTAATATTTACCTACAAATCAGTCATTATATTTTATTTTTTAAAATCAATCATCAATTTTATTAACCATAAAAATCCGTTCCCCTCTCCCAGATCTCGCTCGCCACTCTCCCAAATCTCGCTCGCCACCCTCGCCTCTCTCGCTTATACAAACAGAAACGAAATGTATAAATTGCGCTTTTGTTTGTATAAAGCGAAAGAAAATTGTATATACACATGCAAATACATATATCTTCGTCCTATACACTTATAATTATACAATACAAATATTTATCTGCCCAATTTTCTTTTGCTTTTCTCTCTTTCTCGTTTTATACATACACATATTATACAATTGATCTTTTGTATACAACTGCTTTCTTTTGTATATGTATAGCAAATTATACAACTGTCTTCTTTGTATATGTATAGCGAATTATACAACTGTTTTTTTTGTTATATGTATAGCGAATTATACATATATATGTTTGCTATGGAACGCATTATGCAAACTTTGCTATAGCATACAAATATGAATTTTGTGTTTGCTATATGTGAAAGTTGCTCAATAAAAAATGCCCTTTCGTCCACCTATTTGGATAAAAAATACCCTCAACATTAAACTTAGGTGTAAACTTGACCTTCCTTTTACCAGAATCTGATGTGGCATAAATAATTTTTTCAAATTAAATATTTTATAATATTATTTTATTGATCCACATGTAACTACATCCAAATTTATTCACAATTATACCAATTAACTTAAAAACCCATTTCTAAATGAGCAACTTTCACATATAGCAAACACAAAATTCATATTTGTATGCTATAGCAAAGTTTGCATAATTGCGCTCCATAACAACATAAGTATGTATATTTCGCTATACATATACAAAAGAAAGCAGTTGTATAATCTGTTTTGGTATACATATACAAATAAATCAATTGTATAAAGAGAGAGAGGCGAGTGAGAGAGCGAGATCTGGGAGAGTGGCGAGCGAGATCTGGGAGAGGGGAGAGAGGGGAACGAAAATATATATATGCGATTTTCACGCATTTTATACATTTGCTTTTTTGTATAAAGTGAGAGAGGCTAGTGAGAGAGCGAGATCTGGGAGAGGGGAGAGAGGGGAACGAAAATATATATATGCGATTTTCACGCATTTTATACATTTGCTTTTTTGTATAAAGTGAGAGAGGCTAGTGAGAGAGCGAGATCTGGGAGAGTGGCGAGCGAGATCTGGGAGAGGGGGGAGAGGGGAACGAAAATATATGTATATATTTAATTTTCTCTCGCTTTATATAAACACAAATGCACTTTATACACTTGTGTTTGTATAAAAAACGAGAGAGGCAAGGGAGAGAACGAGAGTGGCGAGCGAGATCTGGTAGAGGGGAGAGAGGGGAACGAAAATATATATATGCGATTTTCACGCATTTTATACATTTGCTTTTTTGTATAAAGTGAGAGAGCGAGATCTGGGAGAGTGGCGAGCGAGATTCACCAGGAGAGAGGTGAAATAGCAACAGTTTGCTATGAAGTACAATTAAATCAAACTATATTTATAACATTTAATTTGAATTAATAGTTTGCTATTATATACAATTTTCCCTTTGTAAATCCACAAAGCCAAACAACTTGTGGAGCTTCTCCATTTGCCTCATTCCGCTGCTCTCCACCGCCATCGACAAATGACATCTCGGCAATCATCGATTGGAAGAAACGACTCTTGCCATACTCGGTGAAAGTTTCATGGCGGCACTCGTCGCTTTTCTCTCGCTCGTCGGCAACAGTTTCAGCCGTCGTTGAACTGGATAACGGAGAGAGAGTAGAGCGACGGCGCGTGAGAGCTAAAATCCGCCTTCACCATCAAGGACGCGCCGCTTCCTCGACCTTGTTAACAGTAGAATACTCACCATGCCTAGAGAGTGTAACAAGCTTTAACATTTCCGGCGTCAATGCATTATTTCAGAAAGCGTTTAGCAGATTTCGATCAATTTTGTACTTTTCACGGCTCACATTTTCTAAGAAGCTTTTGATAATACAAGCGAATGGTGACTTAACACATTTTATCTTTTGCATCTGCAAATCAAAAATCAAACCCCCATTAGATATAGAATTTTAGTTTTGGCCAAATGTGCAAGATATTCTTTTAATTTAATTTAAAATGAAAAGAGAAAAGAGGATTGCAACATACTAATCAACACGTTAACTAAATCAGTGGGCGATGCAGCAGAAGTGAGTGACATTGTTATATTCAAGATAGGTATTGGTGAAAATCCAAGAACATAAACCTATTTAATTTGTTGGGTCATTAAAAAGTAGATTTGGGTTATAATGGTATAATTGTGAATGAATTTGGATGTAATTACATGTGGGTCAATAAAATAATATTATATATATTTGATTACAAAAAATTATTTATGCTACATCAGATTCTGTTAAAAGGAAGGGCAAGTTTACACTTAAAGTTTAAGGTTGAGGATATTTTTGATCCAAATAGATAGATGAAGGAGTATTTTTGATTCAATAGTTGGCTGAATGACATTTTTGAACCTTTTCCAATAGGTTAAGAGCAGTTTTGATTATACAACTGCCTTCTCTTTTAAAATTAGTGTTTGACCAAAATACTTGATTCAAATGACATTACATATACTGTTGTGAGTGGAATTTGTGTTTTGTAGAAACATGAAAACAAAGGAAGATGATCAGCTGATTGAAGCTATACATACAAACATTTTTATGTGCATAGCTCATTCTTTTACCTTTTTTTTTTGTATTTTCAATTAGAAGGAAACTAACTTTTGTTGTTGAATTGTCATTGTTGTTGTAACTAATGAAATGTCAATATCAGCAGAATGACATAAAAAAAGTACTCATCCAGAGATGAAGGCTTTCCATTCTCAGAAATATGGCCAATATCTTCAGAAAAGTATCATGAAGTACAATTATGTTGATAAGATCTTTTAATAGTTTATATGTTTAGATTTTCAATTGTTCCAGTTTCAAATTTATATATTGTATTTGGGCTGTTAATTAAGAGAATCATGTCAGAGGAATTCAATAAATTATTTAAGTTGTATGGATTCTTCACTTTCGATTATATATATAACTTTTGAGAATATCCATTGAGGAAGTTTCTTTTGAAAAAAAATTGAAGATAAAATGAGGTTTATTTTATATTACGATAGAAGAAAAATATAAAAACAAAGAAGGCATGTGTATCTTTTTTCAAAAGAGTACTTCTCTCCATTTAGATGAAGTGATGGGGTGTTGAGATGATAAAAATTAATTGAAAAAAAAAGAATGAAACAATAAAAGCTAAAAATGTTCACTTTAATAAAATTGATTGTGAGGAAATTGGTTTTACTTGAAAATAAATAATGTTTAACACAATCACTATAAAAAATATCTACTTTTACCAAAGTTTTTACTGTTTATACTCTCTATGCTTCATTTGCTTTTACGTATACTACATGATCAAGAGGGTCACTTGGTTCCCATTTTAAGAATAATGCTAAATAGAAATTTTAAGTATTATTAAGAGATTAATAAATCAAAAATTACAAAAAGCAAATTATTGTGTTATAGTTAATCTTTTGAGATATATCCTATTAGTTGTTGATGGGTGGATAATTATTTTTTATATATATTTTCTTTCTCTTTTTAACTTTCACACATCTTCCCTCTTTTTTTATGTATAGGAGAAACTCTCAAAACTATTTTGAAAATACCACTTAAATAATCATAAAGCATATTAGAGAAATGTATTTTATTTATTTCAAAAAAGAAATATTAATATTTTTAGAAATACATAGCATCTTTGCATATGCATATTAACTGATTTAAAGATTGAGAATTTTACTTGCCATCGAAATTACTTTGTAACCAAATGTAGTCTACTTGAAGTATAAAAACACACATATATGAATGCCATTGAAAATATATTTTTGGTAACTTAACAAACTTATATTTATAGTATTTTTTTTTGTGTATACATAAGAAATTACTTAAATTTTTTAATTTCAACTATACTATTAGAATAAATTATTTCAATTTATTTTTTATTATGACCACGCGAAGGGCGGTTAATTCACTAGTTAATAGATATATGCTTATCTCTAAATGTTCTTATCACCTTAGAAGCATCCATACATGAATTGAATTAATTTTTTATAAGGGAATCTTTTTGTAGATTTTTTTTGTCTCTTAAAGTTATAGGTTAGTGGGTTCTACCCATATCATTAAATGTAACCACAAATAATTGATGAGATTTTTCTTGGTTGTCAATCAATGAGTTGAATTTTTTTTTTCAAAATATCTATTTGTATTATAAAAGAAAGCTTAGAATAATATAATATAATAATAAGAAGAAAGACAAGAAGTATAGATACAAGAAAGAATTATTCTTATATTCAAGTGTGTCTTCCAAATGGTGAGTGATATCTATATTTATAGTGTGAGATATCACTCCCAAAGGTCATTAAATTAGTAGATATATGCTTATCTCTAAATGTTCTTATCACCTTGGAAGCACCCATACATGAATTGAATTAATTTTTGGATAAATCTAATGGACAATCCACATAATACATTGGATTTATAACACCCTCCGGATGTTCATAGATAATGTGTCTCGTTAAAAACCTTACTAGGAAAAACCCAGTGGGAAAAAGTCTAGTGAAAGAGTACACACATTTCATAATACACTTTAAATGTTGCCTCATTAATAACCTTACTAGGAAAACCCAACTTGGGACAAAACCATGGTTAAGGTAAAGAGTACAACGCGTATTTCACTCCCCCTGATGAAAGCTCCACTTGATATCTCGGAGACGACGCATTCCAATCTTGTATCTCAACTTCTCAAACGTTGATGTTGGCAATGCCTTAGTGAATAAATCGGCAAGATTATCACTTGAGCGGATCTGTTGAACTTCTATCTCACCATTTTGTTGAAGATCATGTGTGGAAAAAAAACTTTGGTGAAATGTGCTTTGTCCGGTCTCCTTTGATATATCCTCCTTTCAATTGAGCTATACATGAAACATTATCTTCGTACATTGTGGTCGGTATATTCTTTTCCAAAGAAAAACCACACATTTCTTGAATATGGTGGGTCATTGATCTCAACCAAATGCACTCTCGACTTGCTTCATGGATGGCTATTATTTTTGCATGATTTGAAGATGTGTGTACCAACGTTTTCTTCATTGACCGTCAAGATATTGTTGTGCCTCCACATGTAAACAAATAGCCTGTTTGATATCGAGCTTTATGCGGATTAGATAAATATCCTGCATCTGTGTAACCAATCAGTTCTGACTTGGATTCATCGGAATAGAATAAGCCCATGTCCATGGTCCCTCGAAGATATCTAAGTATGTGTTTAACACCATTCTAATGTCTCTTAGTTGGGGAGGAACTGAATCTTGCTAGTAAACTCACTGCAAAACAGACATCTGGTCGAGTATTGTTAGCAAGGTATATTAGTGCCCCGATTGCACTAAGATATGGAGTTTCATCACCAAGAAGCTCTTCATTCTTCTCTTGAGGTCGAAATGGATTTGTATTGATGTCAAGCGATTGTCATGCCGTAATTTTACTAACCTTTAAAAAAATCACTTTTTGAAATGTTCTAAGAATAAAACAATTTGAGAAAAATACTTAGAAAAGAGTCGCCACTTAATTTTTTAAAGAAATTAAGAAAACTTAATTTAAAAAGGCCTTAATAGATAAACCTTTAAAATTTTAGAGAAAATGGGTAAGAGGTTCTTATTTACGCTTCAAGAAGGTTTTAAGACACTTGAAGCGCCCGCTAATACGCGGTTATCCTACGACTTAGATTAAATATATTTTGACTATTTTTTAGAAAAATGATCAACTTGAGAAAATAGTTAAACAAAGGATAATTTTTAATTTTTAAGAAAAATAAGATATTAATTGAAATATTTGAATTAAATTGCAAGTGATTAGAATTTTTAACAAAACTAGATTAATTAGCATTTGTTTGAATCATTTTAAAAAATAATTTACACCAATTCAATTGATAAACCAAGAAATCATTTTAAACTAGTGAAAAAGTAAGTGAAAGTTTTAAATAGAAAACATTTGAATAAGTAAATAAGGGTGCAAGAGTTGATAAAATAAAATTTATTAAAGTAAACCAACACAAAGAAAATAGTTCATCCTTTGGGGAATTCAATTAAGTTATTTAAAGTTAGAGTTAATAAAAAAAATAAAATAAAAATCTAACAATAAGTAATCACAATTAGATAATCTAGGAGAATAAAAGAGAAGATGAATTTGGGCCCTTTTTTGGGCCAAATTCGTTGCTGATTTGGGCTTCTTAGATCAATTCCCATTTTTGTATACATCTGATGTATATCAGTGTATATCGGATGTATACAGCCCATTTTTCTGCAATCCGAGACCTGTTTCAGCTTCCACTTTCTTCGAACATTGAAGGGGCTGACTCGCGAGGAATTCAATTCAACGAAATGCTGGGATGGAGGCCGAAATAGACTCGAACGAATGTCACATGTATCAAAATAAGGAAAAAGGAATTAATGGAGGGTTTTGAACAATTCACATATGCAATTAAGTCTTCAACTAGAAATAATCATGATATAGCTAATTCAAGATATCTACAGTTTACTACAAGCGTAAAAAATATAAAAAAATAATAAGCATATGAAGTATCACTAATGCCAACCACGTGATATACTACATATTACTTCCAATGATTTCATGTTGACAAATTAGCAAACAACCACATACTTAGCCATATGTAGAATAGACAGAAGGAAATTACTCATGCTATAATTGTAAGCCATACAAAACCATAAAAGTTCATGTGATTATATAGAAAGAAAAAAAAACAGAGAGCGGGAAATATTGCCAAAAATGCAAAGCTAAAGTTTTGTAGAGGTTGATCATATACTTAGCTAAGCCGATTTTGAATAGATTTAGACCATAACAAAAGCATACCAATACCACAAAATTAAAAAAAAACATAGGCTTTTTTAAAAAATAAAATAATAAAAAATAAAATTCAAGACCATGAGCATATAAATCATAGACTAGACGAGAATAGAGATTAGATTAGATTAATCTAGTGTTGTCAAGAGCTTACGACAATAAATCATTTTTTAAAGCCAAAAGTTGAAATGTCATGATGAATCAGTAACCAACCATATGACAAGGTCAAGGATTTCGTACAAGCTCAACATACAACAAAAGAAAACCTCGAAACAGAGTGAGAATCGAACAAGAAAACCCAAACTAGGTACATGACTTCTAAAACGGAAAATAAAATGAGAGGTATTAACTTTTTCCAGGCAGCGACTGGAATCGACGAGCTTGACTATGAAGCAGCTTCCACACCAAAGAAGAGATGAAC